AGGATACCGAGTAACCGATCATTGATGATTGTATTTGAGTTCGAGCCTGCTTACGATGGTCAGCCAGAAGGCGTGTTTGCAGGACAATTTCATAATGAGGACACAGAAATTCATGCTTGGTCAAAATTCAAAGGCGTGAGCCACTATCGTTGGCTTCAAGGGCCGATAAATCACTTGCCTCGTGAACAACAGTTAGAGTTCATAGCAGACATTATGCAATAGATCTTCATTTTCTTGCGTTGGTACTGATTAACAACAACATTGCTTCTGAGAGACCTCGAAGCTAAAGGAAGGGGTGATGTTAGGGACATAGTACTTAGAACCTTCTAGAAACAAGTTTCTAGAACCTTCTAGAAGCAAGTCTCTGGAACCTTCTAGAAGCTTTCTAGTTAGTAGAAGTTGCTTGAGAAGCTTCCTAAATAGGAGTATATATTGAAATCGAGGCTGAAGAGTTCTTCAGTCTCGACAACACATCTCTTGGAGCTCTAGCTCACCTCTCTGGTGTTGTTCTTGTATTCATCTGATTAATTTAGTTCTTGCCAGTTCTTCTTGAACTTCTTGTTAGATCTCGAGCCTGTATTTCTGTGTCTGTGATACCAACCTAAAAATTTACTAAGTAAATTTGTAAATGATTGACTAGTATCAATATAATATATTTTAATTTTATCTTTTAAAATCCTTTCACAAATAAAATGGTGATGAATTTCAATGTATTTTTAGTACACATAAAATATTAGATTTTATATAAGTTAAATTATGCCTTGATTGTTATAAAACATATTAATATTTTTAGCCAATTTATTTAATTTAAAAGTAATTTCTTTGTTTTTAGAAGAAATTAGAGTAATACTTTTATTTTGATACTTTAATTTACTAAATAATTTGAATATCCATATACCATCTTATATACTATTGCTAAAAGCTTAATATTCAAGTTAATAATATCTATAATTATAAGTAATGCATAGTCTAAAATAGTTAAAAATATAAATTTTTTAACTAATTGATAAAAGTGTGTTGAATTGTACAAAAAAGATTGTATATTGTTGATTAGAACTAATCATTTTGACAATGTTGCATATAAAGATTGGAACTCCAATATATCAAACTTTTACAAAATGCTCTTTACATACTCTATTTGGTGAATAAAAATTCCTTTAGATGTTTTGTTAAAATCAATTCTTAGATATTGTTGAATAATTTTGAGGTCAATCATATCAAAAATACTTTAAAGGTAATCTTTTAATTAAGTAATAAGCTTGATGTTACTTCAAATAATAAATAAATCATCTATACATAATATAAATAGAATAATATCACAATTTTTATTAACATAATACATATTTATATCAAAGTTACTTCGATTTATATGCATGTCTCTTAGTACATTATCTATATTTTCATACCACATTCTAATTGATTATTTTAGTCTATAGATAGATTTTTTAAAGTTTACACATTAGTCTTTTTGTAATGGAATTGATAATGGACTACATAAATCAAAATGAACAAATTACAATTATTTAGTTATAAATTCACTTCTTTTCTAAAGAACATGTTTCCTATGTAGCTTCCTATGCATACAACTTTTACAAACTTCTTTCTATAGTTGTAGTTGTGATTTTCTACTAACTAGTCTTTGATTAGATAAGTGATATAATGACTAAAAGTTAAGATGACCAATCAGCTTGTACTAGAGCCAAATAACATCTATAAAGATAGTAGGTGTTTTTGATCTTTGTACCTTATTTGTTGTTTTGTTGATGCTTAGAATATTGTATTTTTATAGCTAAAAAGTTGCCAATAGTAAGTCATTTTTTTTTCTCCTACAATACAATAAAGTTTATTCCTTATTCAAATAGCTTGTATATAAATATATCTTGGATTATTTTTGTCAAATATAAAACATGATGTGAATTAAATATTATAACATATCTTAAATCTACAAATTTTTCAATTGATAGTAAATTTTTTTTAACACTAAGAATATAAAGAATCTTTTTGATTTCTTTTATTTATTCAAGTGAGATTTCAAAAATATATTTTTTTATCTTAGCACAAAATGAGTTTACCTTCTAATGGTTCTAATATTAAAAATATTTGATTCTTCTATTCTTGACAGTAATTTTTTATTTTCTATTATATATGAATATGCTCCAAGGTCTAAGAATTACTTATTATCAGAGTCAAATGCACTAAAACATGCATTCATAGTGGCTTCAATTGGAAGATCCATTGAGTAGTCTTCTTCATCACCATCTCTTATCATATTAGTAAAACAACATTTTTTTTTTATTATTCTTAATAGTTGTAATTTTAATTGTCTAATTTAATTCTCCAAGTTCTTTATATCACATTCTTGGACAAAATGACCTACTTTGTTATATTTGTAGAAACTAATATGTTATTTTGATCTTCATTCTAACTTTATTACATTGTTGTGTTTTTGCAAATGAATGATAACTATATCCTATTCTATCTTGATGACAACCAAAAGAAGGTCATTTAAAATATTGATGAAATACTTGTCTTTTAGGTCAAGAGTCACAAGGATATTTTCTTGTATATAATATTTCTTTTTCATTATCTTTCTTTTTTTCTTATTGAAAATAAACCTCCAATTACAATAACAATCTTTTTAATTTGAAAAAGGTAGATAATATATGTCTTCCTTTTTGAATTTGCTTAAATGTAGACCAACTCATTGATAGAGCATTTGGAGTTAAAGTAAAAACATCTTTGTGACATATGGTAATGCCTAACCTATGATTAAGTAGCAAATTAATTACTTGCAAGAACTTACTTGAACTCTTTATTTTTGATAAACAAAGTGCATATAATAGTTTTTTAAGATAAGCTCTTTATTTGCATTTTGTACATTATATAACTTTTGAAGTTGTTTTCAAAAACCTTAAAGTTTAAGTATACCAATAATATGAGAAATAATAGAATCTTATTCTACAGAAGAGATGATATGACAAGTTGTAATACAATCTTGAATAGTAGAGAGTATTGTCTTTGTATTGGTTTAATTTTGTCTTGTTGTGGTGTTGGTTGCAAGTGCAGTAGCACCAATAAATGAACTTTTAATTCTTTAGTCTTAATAGGAATGGTTATAGATGTTTTAATTAATTTTGATAAGTTTTTTGCATCAAGATCATGTGAACTCTATAGGTCCATAGCATGTAGTTAAATGCTCTTTCTAACTTCATAAAATCAATGAGATCTTTGACAAGTAGGTCCATAATTCTATACTATAGATGTAAATACACAAAGATAATACTTGAGAAAAAAATATTTTTAATATTCTCCTTAAACAACTCTGCTAAGAAGTAAGCAATTCTATGATACTCTCACAAGAGCCTAGCTCTGATACCATGTTAATATTTAATCTGAGTATAGCCTTGCTTTGTATACATTCATAATAAAGGGTACATGCACCTAAATAGGTGTAAGCTAGATGTTATAAAGGCTCGGAATTACTGATTGTTTGAATCCAGATTATTTAGGTGAGCCTGTTGAAGAGGTATTAATTCACAATACAGTACTTCATTCTTCAATTGTAGAATTTTGGTAGAACATGTACATATTGTTCAGAGTTGTTCAGGGATAGCCACTGATTTCCTCCATAGACTACGCATTTGAGTGTGTAGATTCTGGGCCCTATCTTACACAGGAAGCGGTTGGGCTTCATGAATCTCCAAACATATTCTAAAACAATGCCAGGTTTTTGTAAATCTATTGGGCCAGCTGTTGTTAGGGTTGGGGAACTACGATTAACCTTAGAGTTTCGGAGCAAGCTAGTCACCAGTCGTACGCGCTACTTGCTAACGGGCCGGTGCATGAAGGGCACTCTGTATGTGGGCTACATGCTCACCTCCTACTCGCTCGCGGTTGTGGAATAGTATCTGCGAAAGGTTAATCGCTTTCTTCTTTACGAATTTAATTCTTGTCATGATTTCAAGAGTGATGAAAAGTGAATTTTAAAGCAAAGCATGTGAGATAGTAGGTATCTACATTGTCCGCAGATTATGATCTTAGCAATGAAACCAATACCGATCTACACTGAAGAAAGAATCAACTATAGCCGATCATCAGCACAGAGGTTCTTATATCGGCTGTTGCTGAGGTTGTGATGGAATGTGTGCAGGAGGTCGATGTGAAGTAGTTTATTAACCACAACTTGCAATCTCTTGTATCAACGAAGGTTTTACACTTTTGGAGGCTTGAGAGTGTTTGTGCACCGTAGTGCTTTTCAGTGACAGAGTTCGCTAAGAGCTTCACGTTCAATAAACATACTTAGACAGGATTGGCACATCAATGAGTGAGTGTTGATGGCATAAGCAACGACTCGGCCTTGCTACCCATAAGAAGCAATCTTCTCCTTGAATAACCACGAATTGCATCAACTTCGTTTCGGTTCAGGCCCTGGCAGCTAAAGAGATCTCCAGGGTTGACAAGGTGAAGCGGTGCTTGCCTTCCAAACTGCCACAAGGGTCACCTCTAAAAGTTGCTCAAACCTCTGCACCCCAAACTGAGCTCCCTTTCATTACATTCTTCTATGTATTTGGAAAGTGTCCACAAACACGAGATCACATACGTCAGTGAGTCTCAGACACACTAAGTTTACGATACTGTTTGTGATGCAAACAAGTTCAGGTGTAATTTTGTTGAACATATCACTAATGCACTTCATCCAACTAAGATAACCTGACTTCTAACCGGAGTATGGGCAAGTTTACACCTCTATTAAGAAAACTACAACAATGTTAAGAGAAGCATAGAATTGCAATCGGTAGGAAGTTGAAAAATCTCATGTGATTTGATATGTAAGTATATCTGAAAGGGGACAACAGGTGGACTGGACTAAGCTAACACACCATCAAACAAAATCAACTGGATAAAGTCGGATGAAACAACGAACTCTGAGGTTCAGCCATCACAGGCTGCCACGGTGGCATTGGTGGCTGGTCCACGTCGGATTTTAGCAGGGTTCGGTCCAATGAGAGTGGCTCATGAACTGGAGGTTCAGGATAGCATTCGGAGAGGCATCGACTGAGCCACAACTTGGGCTTTGGGCTTCGCACTGTCTTCGTGTTGCTGCACTTCAACACTGTCAAATTGAGCCTTCACTTGTGGCCCTCTTCCACTTCCTTCTGCTTGCGGTGGTCAGAGCTTCGGAGTTGGAGACGACAGTGCTCGTAGGGGAAAGCTCATTCTCTCGCGCCCACTCGGAAGAGAGAGACAGGTGGGTACCTTATCAATGCATTGCCAAACAAAGCATTCTATTTTCTCTTTAAACCCTTGCTGTCAGTTTTGTTGGTTTTTTGCGTCTTGGCTTGACAGTGTGTTTTTGGGTTCACCCTGTTCTTAGCTCGTGCAATTAGGTCGGCGTTTTTAGGTGCATTCTTTCATGTACACAAGTAGCGAGCGGTTCTACCTTCTCAGTTCCTTGTCACAGTGAATTGTTTCTACGATAGTCTTTTTACATTCAGGCACAGAGTGGACTTTGTGAATGCACCAAGGGGTTTTAAACACTGCTGCTACTACTGCCACCGTCTGTTAAGCTTTGCTTCTATTCTACTTCTTCCGCTGTGTGGTAGCAGCAGCAGCAGCAGCAGGAGCAGCAGAAGTGGATACGACGGTTCTGTAAGAGGGGGGAGCAAATTGCTGCGTGCGCACCTTGAGAGCCAGGTGAGAAGCTTTGTCACGCCATACTATAGGAAGCTGTGGTCTCTCGCCTTCCACTCCAACTCCTGGTATGGGTTTTTGAAAATCTTGTGTTGTGGGTTGTTTGTGTGTCCCTGGTTTTTGTTTGGTTTGTTGCGGTTGTGGCTCGTGCAATTGGGTTGGGCTTTCATCTACATTCGGGGGTTCTTTAACGAGGGAATAGCAGAATTTGTAGGTGCGAGATTTTCACTGGGTTAGTCTTTGAATTCAGCGGTTCGCTGCGGTCCAAGGGGTTTCCATTGCTGTGTGCTGCTGGGTTTTGGGGCTGTAAGGTTGTGAAGCAGTTGGAATCTGTTCTTGTCGGTTATGCACGCGTGCTTGGAGAATTGATGGTAGAATGTGACCACATTGGTAGTCTCTAGAGTCAGTTTCCCTCGGTAATAGATATTGTAACCTCGGCGTGCGACTACATGTTCTGTTGGTGTATACGTTGTTCCCGAACCTGTGCCGAGATTAGTGTCCCGCCATCTAGGTTTTTAAATGTACCAGTTGTGTTCACGGATTGGTTGAGAAACTAGAGTTGGTAAATTTTATGGCGTGTTGATTTGAAATTTTCGCGCGGATTGTTCACAGTAGTTGTGAAGTGCCCACTGAATACAAACTGTCAATACCAAACTTTCCTTGGGTTAAGTAGTCTTTTAAGCATTCTAAATAGTTGACTGGATTGAATTTAACAACTCCTGCGTCGACCTAGACATCGTGACTAGCTTAACCTGAAAGGATGAATTGTGAGATTGGTTGCCCTGGTATCCTACTGCACCAAATGTCATTGTAACGGATATTGATGTCAATGGCGGAAGGCCCTACCGGCTTACAAATTGGGAACCTGGGATTGCCGTCGCATCATTGTTTCGGATTGTTCTTTCACGGACGTTTATCTGTAGAGAATAGTTAACTTATGGAGAATCCAAATTAACGTGTGCCTTTGTCTATGTTTCCAACAGGATGGCGTACATTGCTCTCCCCACGAGGGACAGCACTCTTCTTCGCCTGGCCAATGCTGCGCCAAGGCTTCCCCGCAGCGCCAGTGCCACAGTGCAGTCCACCTGCTCTTTGAAGGATGTTTCATCCATGAGGCCCTTGAAGGTTCAGCCTTCCAGCCTCTTTGTCTCAAGGACTTTCTCCAGGTACTCTACAAGAGGTCAGACAGTTTTTGCCTCCATGGAAGGCAATGTCACAGTGGAGGAACCTGCTGTCGACACCACTGCCGAGGAGCCTGCAGCTGACAACACCTCCGTAGCCTCTGATGCTGCCGAACAAGCAGAGGCCTCGGAAACTCCCAAGAGATTCCAACGGAGCAAGAGCTCTAGGGCTGCAAAGACCCTCACCGTCCAGAAGGACCAGATTGTTGCGGGAGCTGTCTTCACTGGCAAAGTTCGATCTGTGCAATCGTATGGTGCATTCGTTGACATTGGCGCATTCACCGACGGATTGGTGCACATCTCCGAACTTGCGCCAAAGTTTGTTAAGGAGGTCACCGACGTGGTGTCAATCGGACAGGAGGTGACGGTGAGAGTGCTGGAGCTGAATGAGAAAGCCGGGCGGATCGCACTGACGATGCGGGACAGAGAGAACGAAGAGGAAGAGCAGTCGTCTCGACCCGGAAGCGAGTCGAGTGCAGGATCGGGATCAGGCGGAGAGGAGAGCGGGAGGCCAGTGAACCGGGGCAAGATCGCGGGAAGGGGAAGCGGAGGGTCGAGGTCGAACTCAAGGGCGAGTGAGCCAAAGGTGAGGAGGAGTGGTGTGGAGGGTGATGGGAGGAATAGGTCGGATGGAAGAGGTTTGCAAGTGGGGTGGGTGTGGTGCATTGGTGCATTGGTGCATCGTGTGTGATTGCATGCGTGAGTTGTGCAGGTGAGGTTGTGAGAAGCAATTGCGAGATGCGGGGGAGTGATTGTGGGATGGGAGTGGGGGCTGATGTGTGATTTGGGTTGGGGTGTGGCGCAGACGAAGCTGAAGAAGGGTGAAGAGCTGAAGGGGACGGTGAAGAACATCATCCGGAACGGTGCATTCATAGAGTTTGCGGAACAAGGAGAGGAGGCGTTTTTGAGAGGGTCGGAGGTAACGGAGGGAGGAGAGAATGTGCCTATGGAGAACCTGTTGACGGTGGGACAGGAGGTGACAGTGCGGGTACTGAAGGTGGAGAGAGGGAAGGCATATCTGACGATGAAGCCACAAGTGGACATGACATCGGTGAACCAGTCGATCAACTCCGGTGTTGTGGGAAGCGCGGCCAATCCTTTCGCCACATTTTTCCTTAGCGTCAACCTGGCCGGTGCAGAACTCGTTGCAGCTGAAGGAACCCCTGCAATGGAGGAGACCGCTGCTGTGGAAGAAGTTTCTGCTGTCGTTAGCGTATAGAGACTCCAGTGAATGAATGTTCGGCAGTAGATTTGTCTTCTTAGTCAGAGAAAGCAGATGTCTACCTCAACAACCGCGAGGTACCCCATCAATCTGCTGCCCCGAATTCGTTCATTTGTCGACAAGGTGTAGTAACTTTCTTGCCAGATTTCCATGTGAGCCATGTCTGTAGTTTCTCAAAAATTTTGGACCTTAGAGGTGATTTTCTTAGCTTCACCTAGATAGTTTAGAAATTTTCCAAGACACTGAAGATCACAACGTCAGTGTCTGATACAGGCAGATGGTTCCGATTTACATTACTCTCAACACATGTTTCCCACCTCTCAAATCTTGGTAGAGTTCCCGTGCATTTCGAGGGTGAGTTGTAGGCCCACTGTCTCAGAATCATTGCACATTATTATGATGTTTCGGTGAACGAAACGCCTGTTTTTGTTACATCGTAACAAGTGAACTATCTGAAGCACCGCTGATTGCGATATTTTGAAGTCTTTCATTGTTGCAAACCTGGCACATGCGTGCACTAGCTGCATATTTGTTGAATTGTGTGTAATCAGCTTGTACTAGAAAGTCAGAATCTTGTTAACATTGATCAACTTGGATGAACTTTTGTTTGCGTATATATAGAGTAGCTGATACTGTGACCATCTTGTTGATGATTATGAATAATGTCACTGACAACTTGTAAAAGAGTTCTGAACTGATAATTTGTGAAGTGTTCACCGTGACTTTTATACTTGAAATGTGGAATCAACCTGTCAGTGTCGAGTGTAGTCACAATCAACAGGTATTGGAATTATCGTCAATATTTATGCATTCAAACAGTAATTGAGTTCTGTAACGCATTGTTTCATGTTTGTTAAGATAGATCGGATATTGTTGTAATTCAAAAGAGTCATGACTCTTTCAGATTATGCTTTTTATTTTTAGTGTGAAATGAACCTAATTTTGTTTTCTAATGTGTTACAGTTCAATACTAATCATGAGTGTCAGTACATAATTGGCAGAAATTGATCTCTATTTGTTTGCATAATATTTTTGAAAGGGAGTTACCGTTTGGATTGATAAAAAGTAAAAACTTGAACTTTTATTGCATATTTGCTCTAACATTTGTTTTAAAATCACACAAGTAATTGTGCTGTTACGTGATGTAATAATTGTGAAGTATGAAATATTTTTATAGTCTGCATTTAAGTGATTCGTAATAAAAAAATTGACAGAGATGGATTTGTTTCAATAGAGCATTTTGATCTCAAACAATAATATTTAGACGATTGAATTAAGACATAGTAAAAAATCAAGAAAACTTACAGATGTCAAGCTGAGAATGGTTTACTGATAAGTTTAATTTCTGTATCCAGAACAAACATATTGTTGCTAAGAAAACGAACAGATATATATATATATATATATATGTTGTTTCAAAAAAAGTATAAAATATTGTATTTCCCACTTAACATCGTGCAAATGACATCAGGAGAGAAAATGGTGTTTTAAAGAAATGTTCTAAATAAGAAATGTTCTAAATAAGAAATGTTTTGTTCAAATCATAAAAAGTATGGTTTGTATCTACACAAGTTGGAAATATTAGTGACTTATAATAATTCCTTTAAAATATTAAATAATTATAAAAATATAACTACCTTATAATTTTTTCTGAAATGGAACAAGTGAATGCATTGTTGATACACATTTAACAAGTAAGCAATACTAGAGTGGTTAAATGTATCATTTAAAATTGTATCAAGTAATGTATACTTATAAAAATGTCTAAAGGGCTTAACAATAATAGTTGGCAATCTTTTGAAGAATAGAACTATGATATAGGGTTTTATAATGACTTGAGAGGAAAACCCACCAAATATTCCATAAGGTATTACAATAGCATTTTTTTTTTTTGTTTTTTCTAATTTGCTCCTATAAATTACTATGTATTATCTCCCTAAGGTAACCACACTTGCATGCAATGGTGTTATCCATCTAATGAGCTTGTACCTACCCACAATTGATATTGTTGAAGTATCACAATGGCAGGGCATCAGAGGAGTAATAAGCAAGGAGATAAGGTGCTATTATGGGGCTATGAAAATTAACGAGGACATAGTAAAATAGAGGGGTATTTAAGGGTTGGAGAAAGCACAATGGACTAGTCAAGAAGTAGCACAATACTTAAAGAGTTTCAAGCAGTAGCACCATGAGTTAACTAGTGTTGGATTGGAGGCCATGTGATTCTAATTGAGTAATAAATTAGACCTTGTTTCTTTTCTAATCATCATATGTGCCAAGTCTAGTTTTGTAAGGTCTTATCCATGCTTGCTAGTAACTCCAAAAGCCCGAGTAACACTATGAGGTGCTAAAAATTTACAAAATTGTGTAGCTAGTATGGAGGTATTAAAATTAATAACTTTTAAATACTTGCATATCAATGGTGTGGATAAATGAAAATAAACCTTATATTACATGTAAAAGGAGATGAATTTTTGAAAAGAGTATTCATCTAAATGAAGATATTAAGCAATTTAATTTTCTATTTTGTTTGTCCATTTTATTTCAAAAAGCATAGTCCATAGGAATATGGGTGGGATACCTCCGTATAGAATACAATTTCCAAAGAAGGCAATTCATAGATAGGTTATCTTCTTTATGAAAAAAAAAAAAAAAAAAAAAAAAAAAAAAAAACATAATTTAGAAAATAAAGAAAAAATATAGTCTTTAATTCTCTACTTGTTTTTAAATAAAAAATCACCAAGATAAGAAATAGACAATGATATTTGATAAAGAGGGGCAATAAGCAAGCAAAGAGTTGGGAAACAATATCATTTTATTTAGATTTATTTCTACTCATAATAACTTACTATGCAATACTAATTTACAATAAAGATTTAATGTTTTGTTTATAAAAGCAATTGATATGGCTATTTTTATCTATAAACACCTTGATTTTACTAAAAAATTAATAAAAAGTAAAATTAAGAAGGTGTTTCAATTTTTCTACTATTATACCAAAGGTGGCTAATAAAATATTGAATATAGTTTTAAGATGATTGATAATTATGAGTGGTACATTAGGGATGTATCTAAGTATAGTTAATTTGTAAGAAATAGGTAGTAACATCCAATAACCATAATTGAACATTAAATTTTGAATGAGTTAATCAAATGATAAAAGTTTTAGCTAATAGTGCTAAATTGGCAAAGATACTTAAATATAAAATCAAAACTTGAATAGAATAATTATATTGCTACTAATATATTAAGTTAAAGATATAGTTAAAAATTCATTAATAATGGTCACATGAAGAATTTTGAGGCAATTTGATTATTGAATGAATTAAAATATGACCATTTTTTTTAAAATCAAGCATTAAAAATATTTATTAGATTATAAAATATTTCTTAGATTATCATCTAAAATTATTATTTTATACTAAAAAACATTAAAAATTAGAATCATTTTTTGATATCAAAAATTTAAACATTAAAATTTTAAAAAACTTAAAAAGCATAATATTTTTTCTTTTTTAAATAATAATTTAATTTTTTTTTGCCATTAATATTTTTTGATATTAAAAAAAATTAAACATTAAAAATATTTTTTGAAATTAAAAATTAAAAATTAATTGATTGTTATTTTATATATATATATATATATATATATATATATTTATATTTATATAAATTTTATTGTAATAATTTAGTGGAGTTTGATTTAAACAAGGTTATTTTACTTAAAGTAAGTTGGTATATTATAGCTATTACTAGATTAATCTAAATTAAAATTTACCATGTTAATAGATTCTGTTTCAAGTATTTTTTTAAAATTGAGTTAAAAAAATTAAAAACCATAATATTTGTTTTCTTTTTTATTTTAACACATATAATATGTATGAGAAATCATGTTGTGGTTTATAAAATTGAATATAAGTTTTTCAATGAGCAATAAAAGCATCATGCTTTTTTCAAAATTGTGATGTTGGGAATAAAATCTCAAAATCAAAGCTACTTTTGTAATTATATTTTATAAGAATAAAAAATATATATATTTTACTTATTTACTCAACTTTCAAAAACATTTGTCAACAAACCAAGAACATGGGCAGAGTATTTTGTTTTGACTTATTTTTGTTCACAGACTAACAAGATTTAGCAAATGGAATTAGGCATGTAGAATGTAAACACAATTTTCTTACTACTTGGCTTAAACTGACTTATTATATAGAGACAGTGCAAAATTCAGATTTAGTATTAAAAATGAACACTGGAAGGCAAAAGAATGGTGCGGCTCAACAGAAGAAAGTCCCAGAAATTTGAAAAGTTGCATGGAATCTTGACTCAATTTTAAAATGAGTGTAGAAGCTAAAAATCTTACATTCAGGTCAACTTTATAAAACAATGAAGTTCAGTTTAGGCATAAGAAGAATCCAATTACGTTGTTTTACATGTCCAAAATGTAAAACTTCATCTTATAATATTAATCAATGGTAAGTCATTCAATGAGAAATGATCTATCAGTAAAATGTAATCAGTCTTAGAATCTAAGATTGAATTACAGACAGACAAACAGAAGCCATCGGAGCCATGGACTGTGCAGGTCTTGCAATGCCGACGGGAAGAATCCATGCGGTGGCCCTGCATCGACGCGGCGCCGAGGATCTTAATCTTCAACCTTGTTGCGAAGCAGATCAGCAGCTCTTACACTGATTCCAGTCTTCCATCTCGGCAAAGGGGGATTCGTCTCTGGCTTCATTTGCTTCTCCGACATCTCGGCCCACAAGAAGGGCTTGAATCTTCACCCATTAGTTAACCAGTTCGATGCGGAAGACCAGTCCCGTTGAACATGGACGTCGGTGAGCTTCACTTCAGAACCTGTGTTGGTTTGTCACAAACTGCCTAGATTGTCCCCGTCAGGGGCGGGGACGTAAGCGAAGGTCCGTCGCCGTCGATAGCCGAGAACATCTGCCAGTCATACCCCGTTGCCTTCAACTGGCGTGAAACTCGACGATCGATTCATCGATTCCAATCGCGTTGCAAAACTTGTGCCGCTCCACACCACTCAGCCATGAAAAAGCGAACTGCACAACGTGAGCCACCAACTGCACACAGGCATGAGGAGGGGGGGGGGGAGGGGATGCCACGGCGTGTGGACCACCAGTCTCCGAACAGACACACCCAGCAGGTAATCGACCACTTTTTCGGTGACGGAGATTGTGCCTAGACTACATATCGTCTGTGCGTCCAATGACGGAACATCCTCCGCTACCGTCTCCTGAAAAGCCCATCTCAAACCATGGCCGTCCATCGAAAGCGAGCCCCGTGAATCTGAACAGCGACACCCAAATTTTTAAGCAATAAAATTGGATAAAGCCGAATGAAAAAACAAGCTGCACTATCTGTCCGTCACTCCCCCTAAAAGCAACCGGTTGACGTCTTCCACCTCATGTCCACGTTGGATTTCCAAGGGAGTAACCCAGTGGTTGTAGCCCACGGAGGCAGAGTTTCGGATAGCCTTGAAAGAGTGGGTTTGTGGTAGCGACAACTTGAGGAAAGGCTTGTTGCTCTAATGGCTCCTACTACTGCCACCTTCTGTTCGGCTCCGCTTCTATTCTACTTCTTCCGCTGTGTGGTACTGGCAGTAGTAGCAGCAGCAGGAGCAGCAGAAGTGGATACGACGGTTCTGTAAGAGGGGGGAGCAAATTGCTGCGTGCGCACCTTGAGAGCCAGGTGAGAAGCTTTGTCACGCCATACTATAGGAAGCTGTGGTCTCTCGCCTTCCACTCCAACTCCTGGTATGGGTTTTTGAAAATCTTGTGTTGTGGGTTGTTTGTGTGTCCCTGGTTTTTGTTTGGTTTGTTGCGGTTGTGGCTCGTGCAATTGGGTTGGGCTTTCATCTACATTCGGGGGTTCTTTAACGAGGGAATAGCAGAATTTGTAGGTGCGAGATTTTCACTGGGTTAGTCTTTGAATTCAGCGGTTCGCTGCGGTCCAAGGGGTTTCCATTGCTGTGTGCTGCTGGGTTTTGGGGCTGTAAGGTTGTGAAGCAGTTGGAATCTGTTCTTGTCGGTTATGCACGCGTGCTTGGAGAATTGATGGTAGAATGTGACCACATTGGTAGTCTCTAGAGTCAGTTTCCCTCGGTAATAGATATTGTAACCTCGGCGTGCGACTACATGTTCTGTTGGTGTATACGTTGTTCCCGAACCTGTGCCGAGATTAGTGTCCCGCCATCTAGGTTTTTAAATGTACCAGTTGTGTTCACGGATTGGTTGAGAAACTAGAGTTGGTAAATTTTATGGCGTGTTGATTTGAAATTTTCGCGCGGATTGTTCACAGTAGTTGTGAAGTGCCCACTGAATACAAACTGTCAATACCAAACTTTCCTTGGGTTAAGTAGTCTTTTAAGCATTCTAAATAGTTGACTGGATTGAATTTAACAACTCCTGCGTCGACCTAGACATCGTGACTAGCTTAACCTGAAAGGATGAATTGTGAGATTGGTTGCCCTGGTATCCTACTGCACCAAATGTCATTGTAACGGATATTGATGTCAATGGCGGAAGGCCCTACCGGCTTACAAATTGGGAACCTGGGATTGCCGTCGCATCATTGTTTCGGATTGTTCTTTCACGGACGTTTATCTGTAGAGAATAGTTAACTTATGGAGAATCCAAATTAACGTGTGCCTTTGTCTATGTTTCCAACAGGATGGCGTACATTGCTCTCCCCACGAGGGACAGCACTCTTCTTCGCCTGGCCAATGCTGCGCCAAGGCTTCCCCGCAGCGCCAGTGCCACAGTGCAGTCCACCTGCTCTTTGAAGGATGTTTCATCCATGAGGCCCTTGAAGGTTCAGCCTTCCAGCCTCTTTGTCTCAAGGACTTTCTCCAGGTACTCTACAAGAGGTCAGACAGTTTTTGCCTCCATGGAAGGCAATGTCACAGTGGAGGAACCTGCTGTCGACACCACTGCCGAGGAGCCTGCAGCTGACAACACCTCCGTAGCCTCTGATGCTGCCGAACAAGCAGAGGCCTCGGAAACTCCCAAGAGATTCCAACGGAGCAAGAGCTCTAGGGCTGCAAAGACCCTCACCGTCCAGAAGGACCAGATTGTTGCGGGAGCTGTCTTCACTGGCAAAGTTCGATCTGTGCAATCGTATGGTGCATTCGTTGACATTGGCGCATTCACCGACGGATTGGTGCACATCTCCGAACTTGCGCCAAAGTTTGTTAAGGAGGTCACCGACGTGGTGTCAATCGGACAGGAGGTGACGGTGAGAGTGCTGGAGCTGAATGAGAAAGCCGGGCGGATCGCACTGACGATGCGGGACAGAGAGAACGAAGAGGAAGAGCAGTCGTCTCGACCCGGAAGCGAGTCGAGTGCAGGATCGGGATCAGGCGGAGAGGAGAGCGGGAGGCCAGTGAACCGGGGCAAGATCGCGGGAAGGGGAAGCGGAGGGTCGAGGTCGAACTCAAGGGCGAGTGAGCCAAAGGTGAGGAGGAGTGGTGTGGAGGGTGATGGGAGGAATAGGTCGGATGGAAGAGGTTTGCAAGTGGGGTGGGTGTGGTGCATTGGTGCATTGGTGCATCGTGTGTGATTGCATGCGTGAGTTGTGCAGGTGAGGTTGTGAGAAGCAATTGCGAGATGCGGGGGAGTGATTGTGGGATGGGAGTGGGGGCTGATGTGTGATTTGGGTTGGGGTGTGGCGCAGACGAAGCTGAAGAAGGGTGAAGAGCTGAAGGGGACGGTGAAGAACATCATCCGGAACGGTGCATTCATAGAGTTTGCGGAACAAGGAGAGGAGGCGTTTTTGAGAGGGTCGGAGGTAACGGAGGGAGGAGAGAATGTGCCTATGGAGAACCTGTTGACGGTGGGACAGGAGGTGACAGTGCGGGTACTGAAGGTGGAGAGAGGGAAGGCATATCTGACGATGAAGCCACAAGTGGACATGACATCGGTGAACCAGTCGATCAACTCCGGTGTTGTGGGAAGCGCGGCCAATCCTTTCGCCACATTTTTCCGTAGTGTTAACTTGGTCCCGGAAACCTTTGCATCTGTAGATGCACAGGAGGAAGCACCTGCTGTGGAAGAAACTGCAGGTGTTAAGGAAACATCCGCAGTTGTTGAAACACCTCAAGCTGAGGAATCCCCCACTGAAGAAGCACCCGTCGAAGAAGCCCCCGTCGAAGAGGCTCCTGCTGCACCAGAAGCATCTTTTGTTCAGGAAGCTCTCGCAGTGGAAGAGACTGCTGCTGTTGAGGAAGCCCCTGTAGTTGAAGAGACTTCTGCAGTTCAGGAAACGCCTGCAGTGGAAGACACTCCTGCCGTTGAGAAAGCCCCTGCAGTCGATCAAACCTCCGCAGTTCAGGAAGATTCTGGAGTGGAAGATACTCCTACCGTTGAGGAGGGATCTAAAAATGTTGAACCTGCTCCGGCCGTACCTGAAGCTTCTGCAGAAAGTAGTGATGAATCACCAGTAGTATCTGAATCTGAGGCTGAAGAACCTCATTCCCTCTCACTTGCCGAGCTCGCTGAGGGGCTTGGCAGAGTTGTAGATGAAGTTGAGAATGTAGTTGAAGCTTCTGCGGAAAAGATTGTGAACGTGGTTGAGGCTGCTGCAGGTACAGGCAGAGACGGAGTATACATTCAGAAAATATAGCTGTTAGCTCTTTGTTGTCAAAGTGTTAAACTCGTTTGCCCCTTCGTTCGCTAACTTGTACTTGTTGGCAGACATTGTGGGCACTGCTAGCGAAGCTGAAGCTGCGCCCGAGGAGCTTAAGGCAGTTGAACCCGAGGAGCCTAAGGCAGCTGCTTCTGCTGGACCAACCGCTGCACAAGTGAAGGAATTGCGGGAGAAGAGTGGTGCTGGAATGATGGAATGCAAAAAGGCTCTTGTGGCCTGCAACAATGATGTCGTCAAAGCCCAGGAATTTCTGAGGAAAAAAGGTCTAGCTAGCGCTGAGAAGAAGGCTGGTCGCATTGCTGCTGAAGGTCGCGTCGGAAGTTACGTTCACGGCGGACGCATGGGTGTGCTAATTGAGATTAACTGTGAGACGGATTTCGTCTCTCGAGGTGCTCAATTCAAGGAGCTGGTGCAGGACATGGGCATGCAAGTCGTTGCCTGTCCAGCTGTAAGTGTCCAACGCAATTTTGAATCTTGTACTTTGTGTTCCCATGCTATTCTTCATTTCTTACTGTATATTGCTACTTAGCTACTTAGGAAGAGTTGTTTGTCTTTCGATATGATATAATTTATGCCTTGTGTTGATTGCTGTGGCAGGTTCAATATGTTACTGTGGATGATGTGCCCGCTGATTTTGTGGAGAAGGAGAAGGAGATTGAAATGGGCAAAGAGGATCTTGCCAACAAACCGGTTCAGATTCGTGAGAAGATTGTGGAGGGCCGGATCGCAAAACGTTTGGCTGAACTTGCGCTTCTTGAGCAGCCTTACATCAGAGATGATAAAGTTCCTGTTAAAGACCTGGTTAAGGAAATCACTGCAAAACTTGGAGAAAAAATTCAGGTTGGTGCAGATTTTTTGTGTTTTGGTCCTAGTTCTCTGGCTGGTGGAATCGAACGAGATTTTCATGTTCAGAACTTTTCTCAATTTTTTTCCACCAAGCTCAACTTTTCTACACGTCAATGAATGGTGAAAATTGTCTCAAGACTAGGATACAGGCACCTAGATTATCACGTTTAATTGTTGAGGACGCATACTTACCGTACCTTTCATAATTTGCACAGATTCGTCGTTTCGTCCGGTACAACTTGGGAGAAGGCCTTGAGAAGAAGTCCACTGACTTTGCAGCAGAGGTAGCAGCACAAACAGCAGTTAAGGATGATCCAGCCCCGGCTGTTGAGGCCCCAAAGGTTGAAAAGGAGGCTCCGAAGGCTGAACAGGAAGCCCCGAAGGTAAGGTTTCCTCGGTCTGTGTTACCTTATCATTGAATTGCTGATTCTATCAGTTGAAACTCTCTTTTCTTATTATCCAATCCATCTTTGCGGATACTCACATATGGTTTTCTCATTGCGCATACTATGCTAGATCATATTGCCACCCCGTGTTTTTCTTGACCTTGTCGTCAGTATCTTCGGAAGTTTGTGAACCAGATTTATGTATTAGTGTTGTCTGCGTAATATTTGTGACTCACGGTTCCGATTTGATGAAATTTGACAGGTAGCAGTGTCGGCGTCGAAAGTGAAGGAGCTCAGGCAAATGTCTGGAGCAGGAATGATGGACTGCAAAAAGGCTCTGGCAGCCTGTGACAACGACCTCGAGAAAGCCTCAGAGTACTTGAGGAAGAAGGGATTGGCGAGTGCCGAAAAGAAGTCTGGCAGGATTGCATCAGAAGGTCTGATTGGAAGCTACATCCATGATGGGCGCATTGGAGTCCTCATCGAGGTCAATTCTGAGACCGACTTTGTGGCCAGAAGCGACGTGTTCAAGGATCTCGTTGCCAACATGGGAATGCAAGTAGCAGCTTGCCCACAAGTCAGTATCTCTCCTTTCACTTCCAAATAGTATACTATTTGTATTGGAACATACCTTCTCTATGGCTTTGAACAAAAGTCCTTCAAAGACCCAAACCATCAATTGCCACATGCCACTAGGTGCTTCCAATATCTGATTCTACTCCTTTGATACCAGTTACTGACGTGAGTCGATGTATCTGAACAGGTGGAATACGTGTCGGTGGACGAGATCCCGGCGTCAGTTGTTGAGAAAGAGAAGGAGATTGAAGCTGGCAAGGAGGACTTGGCCAACAAGCCTGAGGCTATTCGTAGCAAGATAGTGGAAGGTCGCATCGCCAAGACTTTGGGCGAACTGGCTCTATTGGAGCAGCCATTCATCAGGGACGACAAAATTTTGGTAAAGGACTACATCAAGCAAACCATCGCCACGCTGGGTGAGAACATCCAAGTGAGGCGATTCACCAGGTTCAACTTAGGAGAGGGTATTGAGAAGAAGAGCACTGATTTTGCTGCAGAGGTTGCTGCCCAAACTGGGGGCCAGGTTTGATTTAGGTTCGAGGGGTAGTTCGTAGTGCTCGGTTTTAGACATTCGTTCTTGGAGACTACAATATTAGTAGCAATTATTAGGCCCTTTTGGTGGCGTTAGTTCAGAACATCGACGTACATGTATTGTAAAATGTGGCGATTTGGCAATGAAACTTTATCCAGTCTTTCTACGTAGCCTATTCTCTTTAAAGTATTTCACTCCACAGTATGCGCTTTGTATGAGCACTGAATGATGATTCTTGCTGACAATGAGCTCATATTCCTTGTAGGTCCAGTGCTTCCTTTCTACTTGCCATGGAAGCTTGGGCCTAGAAGGAATGTTGTAGTCACAAGCTTGTGTTTAGTGCTTGTCAAGATTGATGTTGAGGCCATGGGTACTTCTCCCAAGGACAAAAGAATCTGAAAAGTTCTTGTACAACTTAAAATCTTTTTGTAAAACTTGTTTTGTAACTGCAATTGACATGCTGATGATGATGCATTTCTGTACTCGGGCCCTTCCTGCCCATGCAAACAAAATTGGTTGATGAACAGAACACTTCTTTGTCCTGTTATCTTATAAGATTTTCTTTCTTGTTTACCCACTTTTTCAGTCATTCTGGTGACGGACTTTTTGCATGGTAAAGTCACCCAGTTTTTTGTGAGGAGTATATGTTTACTGTTGTATTTTCAACCTATTTCTTTTAGTTCAAAGACTGGTTTAAAAATTATACAATGTGTAAAGTACATTAAACTCAAACGTTCACTAGGTTTCGAGTGTCATGTTACAAACCCATCACAAGAGGAAGTAAGTTGCTGGCTCAAAATTTAGGGCTGTAATCAGTTCCAAAAAGAAAGTGTACACTATCAAATTATTAGTAATGTTGATGTCACAATAAATGTTTCATTCAATGACTTGCAATACAAAATGTTTCGTTGTGTATAGATATTCCAGTGTATTTACAAACGCATGTTGATGAAAGGAAAAACTCGCTTCAGATATGTTAACGGCTTAAAACATTATAGGTTTATTATTGACAATCAAACTTGAATCAATCAACCAAAGATTAATAAAAATTAGATTATACTTAATAGAAAAAATATATATAGATGTTTTTTATATTTAATTTTAAGCATTGTAGTTTTTTTTCACATCATACAATTTAATTTAAATAATTAACATATTTTTCAAATATAAATATTTTTATTGAATATTGAATATGTATTTTTTAAACAACATTGTAATAATTGTAACTTTTAGAAGTATAAATATTTTCTTTAATATCAATAATGAATACAAATTTAAATCTTATTAAAATCTTAATATTACATATCTCTAAAATAATGTATAAAAGCCTATATTCCAATTAGTTATTTAAGATATAATTAACATAAAAAGTCAAAGATTTTTGATATAGAAGAAAGAATAAGTATATATTGATTATTCTTCATATTCATATTATTATTGGAACTACACATGTTGCTTTAGTTCCAATTTATTTTAATCCATATTGTATTTTAATAATGGTTTTTATACAATTTTTTCTAACAAAAGTATGATCCTAACTTCTATTGAATTTATTATTAAAACCTATATATATTGTATTTTTATGAATAATATTAGATATAAATATAAATAATTATTTATTATTGACATTTTTTATTTACAAAACATGTCTTAATAGGAAATATATTAGTATAGTGTTTAGTAATAATATAAAAATGATGCATAATAAGTAGTATTAAGACTTAAAAATCAAAAAATGGAATATATTTAAGACATATTTTAATAACTATATCTAAGCATTTATAAATGCTATCAAGCGTGTTTATTTCTTTAATAGCATATATAATAATAATAGTCTAAAAAAATACAAATTAAGTTTGTATCAAGCATAAACTAATTTATGACATCATTAAATAGGTTTAAAGACAATTAATGTTGGAAATAAAAAGTTCTTTAATAATTTAGACTTTATAATACATGTGCCTAAATGTACAAATTTGGAGATTCTTAGATTAATCAAATAGAAATGCAACATTACTTAAGGTAAAGAATTAAACTTATATTACCATAAAAACATTAATTATATCAAATTGTTCTTGAAAGCAAGGTCAACCATTGCATGTCATACTTATAATATCATTAATAAGGTCATGATTGTAAATAAAGTTAAGATCATTTTTTTACTAAAGTTTAAGGCTAAGATTGATTAAATAATTGCCTTCTAAGTATTACAAATATACAAATGTACTCTTGTAAACATCTATACGATTACATAGAGTAGATAAAAAAAGATAAAAGAAGATTAATTTCATAATACCTTCTAGAGTAGCTTCTTAGAAGCTTCATAGACATTGCATTGACTTTACATATGTTTGTAGTTGATTGGAAGGTTAGAAACTTGGTCAACAAATTAACCACGCATTGGTAGCTTGCAGAACAAGTTAATTATGTGACATACATATAGAAAACTTTTCTTGTAAGTTAAGATACATGTCTTGCAAAGTCAACACCTTTTGGAGGTCCTATAGGACATTACCATATAGCTTCTAATTAAGAATATATATGGAGGCAAGAATAAAGCCTTTTTTACTCTTGTTAATGCCTTTTTAGCCCTAAGTCTTATTTCAAGACTTTCTAATCTTCTTGTTTTTGGCAATAGCCATTTTAGTTCAATATTATATCATCTTTGAGTGACTTTTAGTTCTTTTCAATGACACAAGAGTGTATTGAGGATTTCTTTTTTTGAAATTCATGTCCTTGACAGTTTGACAAGAGTGCCAAGTTACTGTTTTTGTCTTGTTTTAAAAGTAAGTGGATTATCCTACTTCTATTATTGTATTTTGAAAGTTATGGACTACCCACCTTTAAGTAAAAAATCTTATTTTTTAACACTAATCTTTTTCTAAAAGAGAGTGGATTATCTCTCTTTATAAAAAAAATTATTTGATATTAAAGGTTGTGGATTACATTCTTTTAATTTAATTCTTAAATTTTTTTTGAGTTGTCTATGGAAGGAATGATTATAGATGCTACTCTTAGCACAAGTGAGAATAGATTTGTAAATATTGTAGATCTTCATGAGCTTGTCAATATACTAAGAGTAGAAATCTCATGTATTTTTATTGAGAATCATGAAGGTATTATTCATATGCCTATAGAGGAAGTTTAGTATTTGCATCAAGAAGTTGTACAATTAAAGGAAGCAAGCATATTAATTTCACAACCAAATCTAAGAAATTTTGCTTCTATAAGTATAATAGAGACAAGGATTAATATGCCTAAAAAATTTGAAGGAATAAGATCAAAATTTCAAGGATTTTTGCAACAAGTCAAGTTCTATTTAAGGTTGCATCTTTTCTAATATTTTAATGGATTTACTTAAGTTGAATTCATAAGCGTACTTCTATCAAAAAATATTCTCTCTTGATTTGTATCTTTAATATAGAAGGATTCACGATTCTTTTATAATTTGAATTCATTCCTAGAAGTATTTACAACCACATTTGGATAAAGTGATCAATAAAGAGTTGTACAAATTAAGCTCTTATTTTTATGGCAAGTATTACAATAAGCCACTATATATGTTATTGAATTCCAAAACCTTGCTTATGACATGGACTGGAATGACAAAGCCCTTAACAATCAATTTTGATATGAGTTGTAGGATAATATCAAAGATTTATTATTGATAATACTAAAAATAGAAACTTTGAAATAATTTATTGCTCAAGCCTTAGTATGTGATTATCAATTATTTAAAAGAAGTTAAGAATAAAGACTTGGTTGAAGAGAAATAAGTCAAATAATAATGGCAGCTTTTAAGTTTTCAGAAACCTATTCATTAAGGCCAAAATCAATGCAAATTGATACGATATGTTTTAAACTCCTCATGGAGTATAGAAAGACTTAACAATGTCAAGAAGGCATAAGCCTATATTATAGAAAAACTAAACACATTGCTCAACACTATTTAAAGAAACAACGCAACCACAAAATGAGAAATATGGTTGCCAAAGAAGACAATGTATTAAAAAAATGAGTTTTTCTAGCTACAATAGAGATTGTAGGATTGAAATCTTGCATAATTCCTAATAAAGGTCCTATTCTCTCCTTAGACCCCTCATCTTATTTTATAATAGAAGTTTATTTAGAACCAAAAAATCACAAAGTCTTAGCTTTGTTAGATTTAGGAGTCTCAACTTGTTTTATAGGCAAAGTTTTTGTTAAAAAATAAGAGATATTTTTAGTCAAAAAAACTAAACTTATACATGCAAAAGTCATAGATGGTCATTTATTATCTTCTAGAGATGTTATACATGAAATTGTGCCTTTAGATGTAGTAATTAAAGATCATAATAGTATAGTAATATTTAATGTAATAAGATCTCCATCCAATCTGATTATTTTAAGATTATCTTAGTTAGAAAAGCATAATTCTTAAATAGATTGGATTTTTTATAACCTTAATTTTTTTGGTAGTTTAATCCAAAATTCCATTAGTCAAATAGAAATATATAAGTCTATTATATCCAAACTCTTACTGGTTAGTGTAAGAGCTTTCATGCATGCCACAAAAAAAAGACTATCTTTTGCTATATATGCCACGTCCATTTTTTATGGTGAGAAGACGTCAAGTAATATTCTTAATTAATATCAAGATTTCTAAGATATTTTTAAAAATAAGAATGTAGATATTCTTCTAAAATATTGTCCTTATGATTGTTCTATTGATCTTCACCAAGAAGCTCAACAACCATTTGGATCAATCTATAGACTATCACAAAAAAATTGGTTGTACTAAAGGAATATATTGATGACAATTTGTTAAGAATTTCATACAACATTCTAAATCTTCAACTAGAGCTCCTATCTTATTTGTGAAGAAAAAAGATGGATCTTTGTAGATATGTATGGACTATCAAAGATTTAATAAGATTCCCATTAAGAATATGTATTCTCTATCTTTGATTTCAAGTCTTCTTCAGCAATTCAATCAAATAAAGATCTATAAAAAAATAGATCTATACAGAGTATATAATCTAATATACATTAAAAAAATAAATAAATAAAAAATTATATTTTTAATCAAGTATGGAAATTTTGAATATGATGTCATGCCTTTTGGACTTATAAATGAAGCAACTACTTTTCAACATTTAATGAATGATGTCTTTTGTGAATTTCTTGATGA